CACAAAACACTGACTGGCCTGTTGTGCCATTCCATAGTGGTCTGCTCTGGCGTTAAATACTGTGAGCACTGTGAGGTTTGTCTTTCCTCTGTTCTATTTCTTTCTCCCTCCACTTCCCTCCTCTTCCCCTTCTCCCTCCTCCCTCTTCTTCCCCTTCTCCTTCCTCCCTCCCACCGTGTAGCACTACTAAATGCATATGGAGGAGCATGATTACGAGATCAGACAAAATCTAAGGTAAAGGTGTGCTGAGAAATGAACAGGGGTATACCTCTCCCTTTATTCTGCCTCATGTTCATAGCGTGCAAGTGGGCTATTTTGGCATGTGGGCAGCTCGCGCTCGACCACATCAACGTGGCGGGCCTTGCACGTGAGAGGCACAATAAAAGGGAAGCTGCAAGAAGAAATAAAAAGAGAAACCACAAAAAGTAAGGAAAGCCACGAAAGAACTGCACAAGGAAAAGGCAATAATGGTCCAATGCGCATCATGCTGTCTGCTATAGAGGATTCCAGGGTAAAGCTATTTGAATTTTGGATCTACTCATGTTGTCTGCTATTGAAGATTCTAAGGTAAAGCTGTTTCAATTTTGGATCTACTCATCTGGGTGGAGACCCCCCCCCGCACACACACAGAGCGGAGTTGGGTATGGTGAATATGACAACACACACACACACACACACACACACACACACACACACACACACAGAGGACATCGTCCGATTCTGCAGGTTGTGCGCAGGGGGAGGTTCATGGCATTTTTTCGTGTTGCGTACAGCTCCTGTGGTGTATTTTTTTTTACAGTGGCGTTGTAGGCCAGCGCAGAGGGCTCTAATTTTTTTTTTTACCATTGGCATGTGGTCGGTTCTTTTTTGTTAGTGGAGCGTTTTGTGTTATGCTGTTTCGTGGTCTTGTGGGCCGACGTGGAGGGCTCTCCAAGTTTTTCGGACCTATTGTGGATGGGGTCGGTGCTTTTTGGCTGGTGGAGTCCTCTGTCATAGGTAAGTTGCTTCTTGCAAATAAATATGATATATCTTTAAACAGAACTGCCCGATAAACCGTCGGCAGAGAGGGAGAAGAGGAAACAAACGAGGGACTGTGACAAACTGTTTCGTCGTATATATGTATATGTGCAAGTGTGCCGCTTCGGCAGCAGACAGGTGTGTGGGCACTTGGCGCTGAACAACACAAACGTGGCCAACCTTGCATTTTCTATTATAGTGTCTATCTATACTTTTTTGTTATGGATGGTTTGTTATGATCTGTGGAGGACATGAGAGAGAGAATTTGGGGTGCTTTAACAACACACACACACACACACACACACACACACACACACACACACACACACACACACACACACACACACACAACACACATTCCGGTCTTGCTAGCTCTTTGTCTTGGCAGATTTGAGCGGTTAGGATCGGGCTCGTACTAGCAAGCTACTCTTTCTCTGTGGATGGATGTGTTTTTGTTGGTTTGTTTTTTTATACATCGGCTATTTCTTTGCCCTGCTTTGCAGCATGGGCTGTCTTGTCGATGAAGTAATGTCTGTGGGTGGCCACGGGTTTTTTCTGGGGTGGGAGTTTGGGGTTTTGGCCACAATATGTCTGCGAGGAGGCTCAGAGAGTGCTTGCTGTGGGTGTCATCCCCCCGGGCTGCTCTTTTGGAGCACATGGAAGAATGGGGTAGCTGTTAGGGTGTTTTAAGCAGTAGCGCTCCTGGTGTCGTGTGAGATCTTGTGGAATTTGGCATAGTAGTCGCAGTGGCCTCGCTGTAGCACTAGGACATCATCCGATTACCAACTGGATGTAGCTCAGTTGGTAAGGCGTTCAAGCGGCACTCAGGAGGTCGTGGGTTCAACTCCCATTGCCCCCACGATAGTGCCTGTGGCATGCTTGGCGTCTTACCTTCGAGACGGTCAGTTGGTAAGCAAGTGTGTGGTAGCTAAGTGGGCAGAGCTCCGGTGTTGCAACGGGGAGGTTACGGGTTCGACTTTGTCGGTCCACAACTTCCCCCGAGAACCATTGGTTGGTGTGGGTTGCACCCCACGTACTTGTCCCGAGCCTGGCATAGCGCCTTTACAGACTAATGACCTCAATAGCTCAGTGGGTAGAGCTCTTGGAGGTCCTGGGTTCAATTCCAGACTATGCTCATTCATCATATCAGCTAGGGATGATCCTCCGGATGGATTTGGGTGGGGACGAGGGCCTTTCCTGCGGGAAAAGCTGATGGGGGATGCTACTCTCTTTCGGGCCAGAGAGTGGTGAGGGTTTGTTTGGGTGCAGGGTGATACTGTGGCAGTCCTATGGTGGCAGGGGTGCCTTGTAGGGAAACCATTGTCGAATTAAGAGGTGTGTCCTACACTCAATGGCTGTAGACCTGTTCTGGGGGGATGGGTCATCAGCAGTTGGTCGGGGGTGGTTGATGAGGGTCGAGGTCTCCACCATTACCACTGGTCAATTCTCCCTAGCGAAACAGACATAAGCAAGGCTCATTAGTAGCAGAAAGCAACCATATACATCCATACAGACTATGATATCACACTAGCTCATACAACAACCAGCATATTTGAACAACCAAAAACAGTAGCCATATATGAACCGTGCCGTGCTGGGTTGCTTGGGTGGCAGAGGTAAGGTGGGCCGGGGATCGCCATTTGGAAGAAGAACTGCAAGAGGGACACCGGGCAGAGATGGAAAGAGATTATCAGCTGCTTTTTCACGAGTGGACCAAGGTTGATCCTAACGACCCGCTACGCCCAGCCCAGGAATTTGCAGACCCCTTCCCCCCCCACCCATTGTCCGTGGAGGAAGTGCTACCTGAGCCATTGTTCCCGGCTCCTGGCTGAGCAGGGCTCTTTCCTTTTCCTCCTGCAATTTCACCTATATAATTCTAAAGAACGCTGACCCTGTTTCTCAGCAAAGATGCGCCAACGAGGATAACAGGTGGATGGCTGGGGCTTATCTATATTCATCTATATTCATCTACATCCTGGCACATCCACCCTGTACAGTTAAGCCCCTGCAACTCAGGAAAATCAATGCTGGCAGGGTCCCCTGTGTTTTCTCAGTTTATTTCATGTCAGTTTTATCCCAATGGACGCCACGAGGAGAGTAGATGGTGGGCAGGGGCTGGGTGAAGGAGGGA